CAAAGTCCTCCCCACCCACTGTATGTCTGAAAACCCAATGAGCAAAAGAAGGTAAAATATTAACAGTGGGTGAATGGCATCTAACAAAAACAACCTCTGCCTGTCAGAATAAACCACTATCTCCTCCTGCCTTCTACAATTCCATTAAAAGCCTATTGTATGCCTCAATCCATGTCCATGGACGGTTGAGGAATGTTGAAACAGGACAGGGAGGGAGATTTTGGAGGGATCTTTAAGGAAAAAAAAAAGATAAGGCAAAATATGTACATCGGCCATATTACCTAAACGGTGTGTGCATCTTTCTGGTCGTCTGTCTTGTTTATTTAAGAGGGTAAGCTCTTTGAGGCAGGCATCATATTTTTGTATGTGTTTGCACAGCACATAATACAATGGGTCCCAGATTTCTGTTAGGGCATTTGGATACTACTACAATGCCAACATTCAATAATAATGATAGCAGTTAGACAGTTCCATCTGAAGATGATTTCTTTACCTGCCATAAAATAATCATAGATGATTCAGCCAAGACAGCCTGTGTTAAGGTAACACTTACCTTTCTCTATAAAGAACTGGTTCTTTTAACATTTCTATTGAGAAAGGTAAGGGATAATGTGATGGAGACCTTTTTGGCCAAAATGCTAATAGACTGTGTATGTGACAAAGACAGAAAATAGATGAATCTTTAAAATAAACTTTCGAATATTTGAATGCACTAAAGAGTTGAGCTAGAGAGCGGACAGAGATGTGTCCCCCAGAAATTAATGTATCATAAACCAGCAGATCATTTGTCTACAATTAGATTGTAAAGCAGGGAAGCCTCAAATCCTTTGAATTCTTCATTTACATAAAGACCTCTTCAAAGATGCTTTACCTTAATTTACCTCTGTATCTTTGTTGCATCTTAATACATACAAAACTATTCACAAAATTTCATAGATTTTATCTTTTAAATCAAAATGCATCAGACACAGGACAGAAATGTATTTGACCAGATCCTCATTTAGTGTAAATCCAGTGACTTCATAGGAACCATGCTGATTTGCATCGAGGATCTGATTCCATTATTTTGAAAAACATAGGTCTTCAAAAATATATATTGTTGAGTTCGAAGCAAAAAACTTGATCTGTTATTGACAGCAGATGTGGGAAATCAAGAAAGGTCTGAACAAACAAAATTTGACACAACATTGTACATGATTGTTTAAATACACAGGTTCCAGGTGTTTGTTTCAGTACACCTCTACCCCGATATAACGCTGTCCTCGGGAGCCAAAAAATCTTACCGCGTTATAGGTGAAACCGCCTTATATCGAACTTGCTTTGATCCGCCGGAGTGCGCCAGCCCCGCCTCCCCCCCCCGAGCACTGCTTTACCGCGTTATATCTGAATTCATGTTATATCGGGTTGCGTTATATCAGGGTAGAGGTGTATTTATAATAAATACTCATTTTTGAAACGTTTTTACTAGATGCTTTTTAAAGCCATCTGACTTTAAACAAAAATTATATGGTATTATTTTCATCATTTTACCAAAACAGGCCTTTCATTGAAGAGTTATTGTAGCAATACATTAGAAGTTTCCTGGACTTTGCTGATGTCCATTTAAGAAAGGCTTTTCTTCATTTATTGATGTTCTCATTAAAACTGTATATGTGCATAAAACCCATCTCTGTCATACACACACACACACGGGTTAGAATAAAATGTAAATACAGAAAAAAGAATTGTAGAGGCTACCTGGTGTTGAAAGGATGTATGAATAATTGCTAGAGTACAAACAAAAAACCTTTCATAAGCTCAGAGCCATTAAAAATATCTTTCTATTTTAATATTTGTAATTTTAAATGACTCTTGCAATTCACCTCTGAACAAGTCTACCTATGAAAATAATTCAAAATATAAAACCACTTTAAGACCACAAAAGTAACCTTCAGTTATGACAATAACTCTGTGGGAAATATAGAAAAGGAAAGAAGTCACATTTTCTATGCAATTTGTATGAGTCATCAGTCCTGTTTTCTCCTGAATGAAACTGGTTAGCTATAACAACAACAACAAAAACAAAGCTGTCTGAACTGGGTGATCCAAGTAATTATATGTTACAGTATGAACACATTTATGACAAAACTTTCAAACATTTGGAAAAAAAAGAAAAGATTATTATATCCCCTGTTTGAAACAGCTTCTGAACTGATGTAAACAGGTATTTAACAGACACTGCAGTATACCTCTGTGGAAAATATATGAGGTTACTCAACCTTTCTAGCAGTGATTTCTACTCCTGCACAAATTTTTGGCTCACCAAATTATCCATATTATAAGAGTGAAAGACTACTGTAGCATATCTAAACATTACATCTTAGTTTTTTTAAATGCACTAATGAGATGTGTATGCAACTAAAACATCCCATGATCGTTTACATCTCTTCTCCTCCTTATGCCAATCCCTCACACCTCTAACTTTTCTGTGTCATACCTTGCTGTGTTATGTCTAAGTTAGGTCCTGATTCTGCTCTGATTAAATTCAATGGGGCCATGTGCATGAGTTAAGATTTGCAAAAATCATGCCTTTCTCAGAGAGTAAGCTACTTGAGGCAGCAGCCTGGCTCATTTTGTCTGTAAAGCACCATGAATCCTTATGGCAACATAGAAATTATCATCACTTAACAAGATCAAGTGACCTGTTGTATGCTATATTCCAAATCTTTGCAATTTCAGGAAGCTACAGAGCAGTTTTCTGAAGGCAGCTTCATCCACAGCTAATATAGAACTTACTTCAATACTTTTATAGTATCTGAGAAGGAACTGGATAGTACCAAGTCAGTTTTATGTTCTAGATTTTATTTTTAGCTTAAGTGAATTTAGACCTTGTGAATGCTGCTGTACTGATAACCCTAAATGCTAAAATAAACCATCTAGCCACAGAACACGAACAGTCAGAAACAGCATTAGCTTCTCCACACATCCTATCAATGAGCCTCAGCCCTGATTTACAGAGACCACCTCTAGAGACTAGAGTTTATATATTCATTCAATCTTTGACCTCTCTGCTGAGGTTGCCAACAAGCATGCTAGCAGTGGTGGGGGCAGCATTGTCAGACATGGTTATCTGACTTCCAGGAATTGTACTAACACCAATTCCTTTGGCATAGGCCAGCTTACAGGTGTCAGATGGCAATCATTTATACTGCTTATTATAGAGTTCTTTCTAATGTATTTATTTGATTGACCTAAGTATGACTACTTGTTTTACATGTACATAGTATTTTAAAGGCATATTTATGTTAATTTTTAAACAACTTTTGGTCACTACCAACCTGGGCAGGATTCAGAAGTGGCCTGAAATATGATTATGACAAGCATTTATATCACGGTACAACTTCATGATGCTATATTGGCTAATGAAAGAATTTTCACAGCCTTCCAGTGAGTTAGATTAGTACAAGGAGCAATACTTTAAAAAAAAAAAAAAGACACCATTTATTGCCCCACAGTATTTGTTTTACCATAGTATATATTGCACTTCATATACTTAGATTGAGAAATACCAGGGATACGATGATACATTTAGCTACTATTTGCATTTTACAGATGAGGAAACTGAGGCACAGAAAGACTAAGTGATTTTTTTTTTAACCAAAACTATGCAGTGAGTCCTAGGTAAATTCAGGATTAAAAATAATGAGTTCCTAGATCTCAGTCCTATGTTCAGTCCATGACTCTACACTGCCTCGATCAGACATCATAAATCTATTTTTCTAAGATTTTAGTAATTTTGTTTAAATGAATTATTTTATTTCTTAACTATTATATATTTTCTCCAAATTTGATTAACAATTTTCACTAAAAAGAAATATAGGTCAATAGATTAGTAAGTGAAAGGAATTTAAAAGACAAGTGTTTGCCAAGGGATGAGTGGTAAGGCACTCTTTTGTAAGAAGAAAGTGATAGTAACTTAAATGTTATCCATCACAAATTGTGTGTTTTGATCATGTTTCTTTCTTTGGGGGGAAAACAGCTGTTCTCCCATTTCATCATAATTTTGTGAACAACTTTAGCTGAAGCTCCATAAACAATATTTTGTGCTTTAAAGTTGTGTTGTGTTGATTTACTCCATTTATGCAGCATCACCTTATAGTAAGACACAGAGTTTGTTAGTTATTATTTTTGCCCCCGTCCCATTGGTTCCCTCTTATAACACCTGGCCACATCCAAACACTAAGTAAGTTATGGTACTGAAAATTTTCTGTGCCTTTATTCTGTAGATGCCTTTTCTTCCCTACCGAGCTTCTTGTCTCTAAGGCCCCCAATTCAGAAAAGCACTTAAGCGTGTGCTTAACTCCCACTGACTTCACTGAAACTTAAACACATACTGAAGTGCCTTCCTGCGTCAAGGCCTAAATAACTACAGTCTCAGGCCTTTTTCTGCAATTGTAAATGTCAGCCTCCTCCAAGTTAAACATGAATACAACTCTGGTTCAGCAGTCAGAGGTTGCCCTGGCATTTTCCCAATAACCTATGTGCATTACCTCCAAGAACTCCACCTTCCTGGCATTGGTGGCCCCAATTTGCTTCCAGGCACATATCTCCATCACTGCAGCAAGAAACACTGCTGACGTAAGCCACAGGGTCAGCACAGATTCACAGATGTTATAAAATGACAAGCATTATATAGTTACATCTCAATTACTATTGGGAAATTCAACAGACATTCCGAGATGAGGGCAGTGGTGCTCACTCCTTAATTCAGGTATTTATATCCACCCTGAGAGACTGAAATGTAGGATTGCGCAAGAACTCCAGAGGGACATTGACTCCTCCCTCCCCTCCCCACCCCTCAAAAAAATAAAATGTTTCTAAGTAGTTCGATAAATCTCTTAACAACACATTCTGACTAGTGAGGTCCTAGGATGGTATTTTAATGTTGTGCCTACTTTCATGTTAAAACTGTTTCAGACATACATGCAAATAAGTAGTGTAATAAATCAATAAATACTTACAAACACACAAGAAAATCAGCCCCAGCACCCAGAAATCACTGGTAAGTTGCTTTTGAATTCATGAAACTGACCTGAAAATGTAGAAAGAAAAAAGTTAAAGCAAAGAAAAACTATAAAAACTGACACATTTAACTTCTTTTTTTATTGTAGGAGAGAGGCATTTTCTAACTATGAACTAAACAAAATTGCAACCAGCACTGTTGTCACCATTTCAACCGAATAATTTACACAGAATTTGTTTCCAGGAAGCCAATACCATGACAAACAATTATTTCATTGTTCTACATCTTACACCATAGCAACCCAGTCCATTATGGCTTGTAAGAGCTGTCAGAAATAACAGGCATGGTTATCTTTTTAATAGGGAAAACAACAAAGAGATTTTTTAAAGGGTTATGGGAACACACATTACTTTAGAAAAATCTGTTGGTAATAGTGTTTTGTAGCTTAACTGTTTTAATATAATATCTTTTTGGTATTCTAAATTGGAATACATTTAAGGTAACAGTCATACAACAAGAATGTTTTTGTTCTACCTAAGGTCTAGATCCCATTTAGAAGCTTAGCCTAGGTACAATGCATTCAGTATAAGGCATGATTCAATCCAACATTCTTTTTCCTCCAGACCCCTCAGTTCTGGCTGGAAAGGTAACAGATGCAACTCAAACCCACAGAGCTTGCCTTATAAAATTCTTTAACTAGCACAATGACTCACTTTATGCCTCTAAATATCCATGGTTTCCTCTCTCCAGAACCCCCATGCATTAGAAGGTAGTTCGGCAGTTTATTTTTATTGTTTGGTCTACATACAGCACATTTTTAGTTCTTGTGAAAACAAAGAAACTTTGTTTCAAAGCCCTTGTTTTCTTTCCAAAAATGCGGGAGATGGATATGGGTAACATTAAACTGAAAATAATAATGGGCCTGGGCTACTAGTTTAGGTCAAAATCTTTTTTTGTTCCTTGGGAACTATCTGATTAATTTGCAGTTCATAAAATAGTGGGTGTAAGTTTAGTGTAAAAAACATGTAACTATATTGAAGATGAAATCATCCGTTTTGTTACCCTCCAGTAATGTGTAAGAAACACCTTCCCACCACATTTCTGTACCCTCAAGTGCACATTGCACAATATTGCACACTGCCTACAGATAAGGAGAAAATACCAAACTTATCTTGATGTAGAATATCCTCCTTATCCCAGCCACCCACCCTGAACTGCATGTTATTCATTCCAGTGAAGCCCTCCCCACCCCAAAAGTACACATCTAATTGTGTCTTCTCTCCTGTAATGCCAATACAGAGTCAACAAATCTCATTTGCCATATCATTGCAGTGTTATTATATATGTTAAAAGCAAGTCTGAATCTCATTATCAGTTGATTTATGCCATTAGTGTGCTTTGGAGCCACCAATTAAACAAGGACAGTGGTTCGTAAGGTCACAGTTAATTAATCTGAAAGAGTATAAATACACTTTAATGCGCACCACCTCATAGAGAGAATTTAGGAACAAAGCACCACCACTTTATGGTGGACAAGCAATTAGGATGAAGGTTAAACACACAAAACTTAAAATTTAGCCTCAAAGTTCAGCTAAAATTAAAACTATAGAAAAAAATTTAGCTTGGAAATATGCATGTAAAAACATTAATGTTCATAACAATGCAAGTAAGTGAGAGACAGTGGCTAACTGTGCCCAGTGATCCTGAGCAAATTAAAGCCTGTTGTTGTTCAGATAACACCTCAAAACTGGCAATCGGCTGCAGGCTGCACCATTATGCAGCTAGTCAGGCTGAAAAAAAAATAAAATAAACAGCCCAATCTATTCAAAATGGTTTCATCTTAGCTAGGTGGTTATATTTAGTATACATCATACAAAATAATAAAAAAATGATTTTTCCCTTACTAAATTAACCAAGGAAATGTGAGGGTAAAATAGTGCATCCCATATAATACATTCAAAGTAAATCAACTAAATGTGCAGTAATGTAGCAGCAGTCTACCGGTACAACCAGACTATAAGTAACAATAGTGAAAACACTCCAGACTACCTGAAACACTTATTTACAGTGCAAATTCAAAATATAAAGTACCTTGACTTTAAATGAAGGAAAATTAGAGACAGTTACTAAAATCATGACTCATTTTACCATGCATAGTTATTGGATCAAAAGAAAAACAATATTGCAAGTACAAAACAACACCTCATGACTTAATTAACTCAAGTGGTTTCAAGACTTTTTCTTTTTGTATTTATAGTGAAATGCTCTACCAGTAAGCATTGCCCCTTATTCTTTTCCTACTTGGTTTAATAGATGATAATTTTTCCAATCAAAAGACTAAAGATGCAGCTGTGAAAGGGAAACAATCTTTCCCCATCATCAGAAAGTTAACATCACAAATATTAAACCCATATTGAATATATTTTTTAGAACACACATTTATTTTTATTGATTAGATAAAGTAGTATAGACTTGTCAAGGTAACCCACTGTTCCATGTGTAATATGCACCCCCCTTTGTAGCTGATTCATAGAGGACATAAGTCTGCACTGCTGCCTCACACCAGACAAGATATTTGTGTTTCAGCTCTAGAGGTCTCTGGTTCAATCCCAGGTGATGACTGAGATGAATGGTCATTGCATAAACACAAGAATAAAGTTCCTCTTCAGTGAAGTATTCCCATTGATTTCTGTGGTACTACTCCTATCAGTAACTTAATGGAAATGTGTGTTTGTAGTCAGAATGCTGTAGTGATGTCAGAGCTTATTCTTACACAGCTTTTTGGAAAGCTACTAGCATATTTACTGAAGATTGGCTTGCTCTTTTTTTTTCAAGGGACAGAAGTGAAGCTTAAAAAAAAAACCCCATCCGGCACTCAGATTCAGGCATTTTTGCCAAAAGGTGCTCCATATTTAAAGCCCATTGCTCCCCAAACCAAATAAATTATAAGCTTTCTTCTGTTGACTCTTTTGTCCCACCACTTTATAATAAACACCATAGTGAAAGGACATTGCACGATACCAATCAGTTCCAGCATCATGGCATTGTAATGCCCCAACCAGCGGCAGCCACCATGCAACTGGGGCATGGCTAGCATGCAGGGAAAGGAGAAAGCAGAAGATGCAGTGCAGTAGATCTGTACAGTGCTTAGATCCACCTGCCACGACCACAGCACACTCGCTAGTACAAATACATTTTGAGAGCACCCTGTGAACTGCCAACGTATTGGGAGATGGAATAAAAACAGCTGAAACACACTACAGTTTAAACATCAGGAAACGTGAAGAACAAAAAATTAAAGCTGGGATTTTCAAAAGGGAGTTAAGGTGCCCAACTCTCATTGAAAGTCAATGGGAACTGGGTACATAACTCCTCTTAGCCCCCTTGGATAATCCCAGCCTAAGAAGCCAGACAAAGTGGCATCTTTTAAATATGAGGCATTACACAAGGGCAAATGGCAATCAGATAAAAGTTGCCCTTGAAAAGGATAAGGGTATGACTACACAGCCTATAGCAGTAAGCATTCCAGCGCGGGTCAATAAACTCAGGCTTCCAGGGCTTGCACCAGCACTCTAAAAACAGCTGTGCACAGGCATTCTGAAGTTGCAGCTGGGGCTGGGGCTTGAGCTCTGAAGCCTAGGGAGGCAGGTGGCCTTCAGAGCCTGAGCCACAACTTAAAAGCACTGTCTATACAGCTCTTTTTAGAGCACTAGCACAAGCCCCACAAACCCAAGTCTATCAACCCAGGTTGGGAGGCTCACTGCTGCAGGCTGTGTGGATATATCCTAAGGGGTCTAGGTGTCAGGAGGGATGTACAGAATTCCAGACTAACAAAAAGGAAAACACCAAAATTCAGTGGGCCTGGTTTGAAGGAAAGTTTATTATTTCTCCAGTAGATACATACATGTATATATTTATAGGGTGAAATCCTAGCACCATTCTTATCAATGAGAGTTTTGCCATTGGCTTAAGTTGGGCTGGGATTGTATATACAGACTGTATATACAACGACTACTAGGACAAATTATACCCTCACAGGCATAAGCACATCTCCCATTGACTTCAATTAAAGCCACGCACATACAACCAAGAATTTCCAGGAAACTTTCTGAGAAATTTGCTTTACAAAAGTCAAGCCTTATTTGCAAAACCATACTCCTGCAAATAAAACCATGGACATAAGAGAGACTACTTTCATGAGTAAAAGTTTGCAGGATCAAACCCACAATACTTAAAGTATCACTATAAATACCAGCAACCAAAGAAACTTCTAACAAAAACAGGATTTTTTTTTTTTTTAGTTTATCAGTGAACCCTCTTCCTCTTCAATAGCTTTAGTAATCCCAAGTAGAAAATAGCTTGTATTAACATATGATTTCACCACATTTCTCTACAGAAAGCTGAGAGTGTATTCATTTAATAAAAGCTTTCAATGATAATAAAGGACCATAGTTATTCTAAGATAACCAGATTCTACAGGTAGTGTGAATTTTCTGCGGACAACCATCAGTGAGCACGAAAGAAGCCTGCATGTAAAAAATGGAAGCAGTTATTTAGAAGAAAGCATGGTATCATGTTATATCGTTTAAGAATGTGGCCTATCATTGTGGGCTGCTGGGACCAAACTATGTACCATTCAACAACTGTTAAAAACCTATTTTAAGAATTACAGCATGATATGAGATGAGAAAAAGGTATAATACAGACATTGAAGTTATACATTTAGGGCCTGATTCACATAGTAATTTCACACTTTGTACGTGCAAAATTGCACAATTAAAACAACAGTAATGACATATGCAAGGCCATAATCACGATAATAAAAATGAAGGGGGCACTAAGTTGATTGTGTTGAGCTCCTCTGAGTTGGAGTTCTGTTACATCTACCATGTCTCTTTGGATTTTTACTTATTTGAAGTAAAAGGCAGAGTTTCCACACAAGTCAGTGAAGGATGCTTTATTTACGCTTTGTTTACACTAGAGACCCTATAGCGACACAGCTGTACTGCTGCAGCTGCACCATTAAGGTCTCCCATGTAGCTGCTCTATGCCAACGAGAGAGCTCTCTC